GTTTCTGTGCTATATGTTTTACATCTATATAAATTGTTGGTTATATCATGAATAACACCGATTAGAAACACAATTTGGTGGCAAGTGGTCAAATCGTTAGCAGTTGACTTGTTGCTAATTGACTTCTCTCGTCCATTACAGCATCTCCTTCACACTTGACCTGCTGTTTCCCAGAGACAGATATCCCTGGAGTCTCTATTGGCACATGACCACTAGACAGACTTAGCAACACTTTATAATAAAAACAACAACCACAACAACTTGCATTTATAAAGAGCCCCTCACGCAGCTTAGCGTCTCACAGCGCTTGACAGTGGCGGAGCACGATGCCGAGCAGAAGTGGAGGGGGGGTGAGTGACCATAGGTACTGTTGCAGAGGAAGATCTTCAGGTCTGACGTGAAGATGGGGAAGGAGGGGGCAAGTGGGGAGGGATAGAGGAAGAGTGTTCCAGCGTTTCGGGGCATAGTGAAAGTGCAGCCACCGATGGTGGAACGGAGAGCACAAGGGACATGCAGGAGGCCGGAGCCAGTCGAACGGAGGCAGTGGGTAGTGGGTTGGGCGTTAAGCAGGTCAGAGAGGTAGGGAGGTGCCAGGGCGTGAAGGGATTTGAAGACGAGTATGAGGATCTATACTGTGAGGATCACTGAAAACTCCCATCCAGCCTGTAAGTAGGTGAAAGGTATTCGAGCAAACTCTATATTATTAATTTCTCTGTACCGTGACTTCCATTTATTTTCTGCCTTGTGTGTATAAAGAGGCTGTCAAAAATGTTCCAGGCTTCACTCTCACTCCAAGTGCTAACCAGTCCCTGAGCATTTAAGGATTGCCGTTGGGAGCTCTGGGGAGAGACTGCAGTGTGGAAGGAGGATATAGCTTTTTTTGACCCAGTTATTCACTTTCCTGACAAGTTGTAGCCTACATTTGCAGAGCATATCCTCCCTTGTTCTGTACTGTCGCCTCATTCTGAATTCTGGGCCAAGGAGAATGATTCTGTTTGACTCAAAGAACCACCTCACTTGTAGTCTGAGAGTGGAATCTTGTAGCGTTACTGGTTAGAGCACTTGCCTTGTAAACAAGAGGACCCAGGTTCGATTCCCAGCCGGGGGTGAAACCTTGGGCAAGTTTCCTTATTCCACACACACTGGCACACTCAGTTTAGAAGTAACTAGGAACCCGGTTGTTAGTCAATTGGTGGATCACTCTCTCGGGGTAATAACCCCTCCAATAAAAAATGTGGTCACTCAGTGCACGACTATTTGTAGGACGTCGCTGTGTGCAATTGACTGCCGAGTTTCGGCCACTTTACAGTATATCCTGTGAAGTGCTTTGAGATGTCTCGACGACGACGTGATAAGGAGCAATATCAAATAATAATAATAATAATCCTTGCATTTGATATAGCGCTTTCACGTCGGGAGGACGTCCCAAAGCGCTTCACAGAACACACTGTAAAGTGAATTGACTGTATATTTGTGGGCGAACGCGGCAGCCAATTGCGCACAGCAATGTCCCACAAACAGTCGTAGATTGAAAATGACCAATTTATTATTGTTTTTGGTTTTGGAGGGATTATTATTAGGCTCTGTGTGGAGTAAGGAAACTTGCCCAAGGTTTCGCCCTCTGCCTGGAATTGAACTCAGGTCTCTCACTTGCAAAGCGAGTGCTCTAACCACTGAGCTACAGGACTCCACAAAGACTATTAGATATTATTATTAATAATAAAAATTAACCGAGGTTAATTTAACCCAGTTAAAATTAACCCGGGGGGGAGTTACGCGTCAACGTAAATTGAGCACCACGTCTGCAGCCCGTGTGTGAGGCTTCCGCCATGTCGAAAATATAACTGGGTCACTGGTCCTTGTGCTTGTCTCCTCCGCACGGTTAATTCCTGGGCTCAGATTGTTGTGTTCAGTTCAATTCCCAGTTCTAACACAGCAATTTATTTTGGTGTGCGTGTATGGTTGTGTGATTGCATGTGTCTGTGTGTGCATGTGTGTGTGTGTGGGCGTGTGTGTGTGTGGTGGGTGGGTGTGTGTGTGGGCATGTGTGTGTGCGTGCGTGCGTGCGTGCGTGCATGGGTGTGTGTGTGCGTGCGTGTGTGTGTGTGGGCGTGTGAGTCTGGGTGGGTGTGTGTGTGTGGGTGGGTGTGTGTGGGCATGTGTGTGTGTGAGCAGGTGTGTGTGTGTGTGGGCGTGTGTGTGTGTGTGTGGGCGTGTGTGTGTGGCGACAGGACAGGGTGTGACCATCAATGCACGTGTCTCATTAACCGGGGTCACAGTGAAGCGTTTCCACATTAAGAGAACTGGGTGTGCGTTCGGCTGTTTCAAGCATCTTTGGGGCTCCCCCCGCTCAGCAGCTGCAAGGCTGCTTCTTCGTTGGACCGCGGTGCTGTTACCAGGGAAACCCTTCACTGATTGCTTTGTTGCATTCTGCGTCTGGGTCCCTGTTCACCAAATAACGAGGGTGGGTGGGGGGGAGAGTGCGTGTGTGAGAGGGGGGGAGAGTGTGTGTGTGTATGTGTGTATTTGTGTGTGGGGGTGGGGAGAGAGAATGTGTGTGTGTGTGTGTTGGGTGGGGGGGGTGGGGGGGTGTGAATGCGCTCCATGGGGAGAAAAAACATCACAAGTTTAACGAATTGTTTAAAGTGCAGATATCAAGGCAAACGATAACAGACCATTATTGGAAATCTATCTCTGTGACAGTGCAGGAGCTTATAAACAAGAGCAGACATTACAATAATAATAGTCATTATTATTACTAATCATAATAATCTTTGCATTTAATATTGCACCTTTCATTTTGGGAAGGACGTCTCAAAGGATTTACTGTTAGGCCTAGTGATTGTGTATTTGTAGGCAGCCAATTTTGCACACAGCAATGTCCCGCAAACAGCTGTGAAGTTAATGACCAGTTTTATCTGGGGGATTGTCAGCCAGGACACCGGGACAGAGAAACTCCCTTCTCTTTTTCGAGTGTTGCCATGGGACAAACACATGGGATATCCACCTGAACAGGCACAGACGGTTCCTCTGGTTAATGTCTCATCTGAAGGACGGCACCTCTAACAAATCAGTGCTCCCCCCAGTGCTGTGGTAGAGCATCAGCCTAGACTGTGTAAGCTGAACGTCTCCGATGTGGGGGCTTCAACCCACAACCTTCTGACTCAGAAGCGAGACTGCGGCCAACTGAGCCAGGCTGACACGACTGTCTCTGAGAATGTGCGATCTAACAAACTCACAGGGAAAGCAGCTAATATTAATTGCAATCAATCGTTTCATCCTTAATTTAATAAAATACACAGTCAATTCACTTTAACGTATATTCTGCGAAGCACTTTGAGACGTCTCAACGACGTGATAAGGCGCTGTATGAAATGTAAGGATTATTATTATTATTGTTAATAGATTTTATAAACCCGGGTAAGGATCAATGCCGCTTCTTTAATTTATCGAATGAATGGCCCGAGATTTTTGCTGAGAATTAAAGTCCGAAACCAACCGGGCAAAGCCGTCTGTACCTCGTTAAGCAATGTGTTAATAAGTAAATTATTTATACGAATCTGTCAGAACAGTCAGGGTCCATCTGTTGATGCTGAGCTCGCAATGAGACTGAAATCTCCTCTGACTGGTTCCTATGGTCGCTAGACTTTTAAGGCTCGATTGTCTTGGCTGACATCAACATAGGAAAATAACCATTTTTTACAATTCAGTTTTTTAACAAATCGAGCTGCAGATCATATAAGGTTAATATCCCCCCCTTCCTCCTCCCCCCACTTCCCGTCTGTATCTGTCACACTTTACATCGAAGGAAGATCTACACTGTGGATCTTAAAGGTGTGTAGGGTTGCCATCTTGTCCTGTTCACGCTTGATAATGCTTCGACCTTGAAAGCTCAGAGCTGGCATCTCCTCTTCCCTTTAATACTCCTCACCATCATGTATATTTGCACAAGATCTATTGATATGACACATGATCAAATTGAGTTTTTTTTTAAATTGAATCGAATCCTCACAGGTGGGAGGTGAAGAGGAGAGGGAAGCAGGGAAGGAGGGAGTGTGTGTGTGTGTGTGCGCACAATTGGTTCAAGGAAGGATACTTCTACAGAACTGCAGTTAGTGAAGGTAATGCAATCTTAGCTGATTGACAATGGAGCACAGAAGTGGGGAATTTCTGCGAAATATGCCATTCCTGTGCCATGACCCGCCAGAGTGTTTTACTGGGTCAAAAAGGTTTTTTTTTTGCGCTGTTGTTTTTCAACACTTAGTGAGAAGTACTCAGTTAGGACTTTCGCTTCTCGTTTTTGTTTTTTTTAAAAAAAAGGAAACGTTTGTTACCGCAAGGAGTAGTCCTTTTTTAATCTTGTTAGCGCGTGTAATCAAGGGGTGTGAATGCCTGGGTGTGCGTGCGTGCGTGTGTGTATTTGCGCAAGCATGTGTGTGCCTGTGGGTGTATGTCCGTGTACATGTGTGCGCACGTGTGTGTGTGTCCATGTATGTGCCTGTCTGTGCATGTGCACATGTGTGTGTGTTTGTGTTTATATGTTTATGCATGCGTATGCGTGTGTGGGCGTATGTGACAGAGTGTGCCTCTGTATGCGTGTGTGTGTGCTCGTATGCATGCATGTGTGCATGCTTGTGTTTTTTTTACATATAACGTGGCTGATTGACCATTGAAAGAACTGCCCAATCGTTGCAAGACTACGCTGCAATTATATTACAATTCAGTGTGGTACACTTTGCAGTTTTCTCACACTTTCCCCTACACTGCGATGCTTCCCTACTCCAGACAGCACTGCCTGCTCCTATGTACACATCATTTAACAAGATCCCTCCTTCCCTCCCACAAAATACACCGATCATTGTTCAGTTCTTTCACCGTCTCCGTGCAAATTGTGCATCCGACATTCCTGCTCAGTCCTGTGACACCTGGAAGATAAGACTATTTGTTAGTTGCAAGGGAGCTATCTAATTAGGAAGAAACCATATGAGATGTTTGGGCAGGGTTGGGGGGATGGGATAAATCCCAGTCTGCAGCTGCTGATTATTTTGCATGGATGGGTGTAGAGAAAAGGGTGTTGTAATTCAAACAGGCTTCTCGTTCTGGGTAAGTACAGATAAAATTCACTTCTACCCGTTTGATTGTCCTCAGCGCGTGTGTGTGTATGTGTGTTTGTGTGTGGTTTTTTTTTAAAAAAAGGTTTCCTTAGCCAGTTGAATTGCCACGCAGAGAAAAAAAAATGGTCTGTCCGCATCTTTGCATCTGAATGTTGGTCAAATATACAATTCAGGCTCCAGCATGAATAACAGGACAGGAAAGGAGTCTTAACATTTACAGCACTATACAGCATATAAAACTATTTGATATTGGGTGCATATTCTTGTAAACCTGGCTTGCTGTCTAGATTCATTTTGTGTAGGATAAAATCTTCTGTTAGTAAAGCAAGGAATCATATATATGTATGTATATACGTATGATTATATATGTGTGTGGAATGGGCATATTAAATAATTTATGGGATCTGTTTTGCTTTTATTTTACAAATAGCATTCAGGTTATTGCCGTGAACTTGTGGTGCTATCAATCTGGTCCTTACTGCGGTCGCCAATTTCCCTCCGTTGTCATGGAGATTGTTCTATTAAACCCGCAAATAATCTAGTGAGTGGAGGTGGCCAAAGAGGTGAGATCAGCGAGGAGTCTATCTATCTATCTACACGTGGCTCTGGGATTTTACGTGTGTTAAAACCAGAACCTACATGGGAGCGGGTTGCTTGGGTCCTGTGAATGAGGAGCACGGAGTTTAGATTGAGACGTCTCGAAGATGTGATAAGGCGCTATATCAAATGCAGGATCATTATTATTGTTGGACATGGGAAATATCTATCAAAAGGAAAAGGTGGGAGCAGCGAGCATTTTTGCTTTGAGTTGAGGGTGGGGGAAACATCAGTGATTTCTTTCGACGCCAAGATACTAATACTGTACGAGATCTTATGTTGACAGCCACTGTGCATTTCTTTATGATATCCTCGCTTTTCTCTCTCTGCCAAAAGGACTGAGAATCCTAAGATGCATCCCTCAATACGTCAGTTCTTGATTGATTGATTGATTGGTCAATTGATCGATTGATCAATTGATTGATTGATTGATAAAGCTCCTAACAATGTTTTCTTTGTTCGGCAATTGTCTTTTCGGGAGAGGGGAATCAAGCGAATAGAAAGGGAGGGGAGTGGTGGGCAGTGTTATACCTGGATCATTATCGAAACAGCTGGCTCGATGACAATGGGTTCATTCAATAATTCCCATGGATAACATTGTGGAGACGAGGGTGAAAAAAACAGATTCCCCAAGTGGCAATTGTCTTAGGTAAAACTGTGAAATATACAGAGACTTTCAGATGAAGACGAGTAGCAATTTGAAAGAAAAAAATCAAGTCATTTCACGTAATCAACAGAGTTATTATCCACATTTTTGCTGCAATATCTTGTCCGCAGATTTCTTTAATGCTTTGAATATTTTGGGAGCCTTATTATATAGTGTATATATATTATATACATGTGTGTGTGTGTGTCTATATATATGTATGGCTCCCAAAAAAATTACAGCATTATATGTACATATTTAGTAGCTGCCTTCTTTATATATAAAAAAAATTGTGGCGCTTGCCTGTTTGAAATCACGTGGAACTGATTTGGTTTCCAATAGTGTTTCCACACACACCCTTTTCCCCCTTCAAAAAAAAATCTTGACACGTCCTGGCTTTCAAACAATACGCAAGGTCAGCAACCACAAAGGCTGCACAGGCTGAGCCAGCACTTGTTTATTGCAGGGAACCCGGCAAATAATATCGATAGCTCTCACGCACACAGCTCACGTGACACTTTTTTTGTAATGTCGGATTTGGCAATTTTTTATTTGGGCTGAATTTCATCCTCTCGTTAACCTCTGACCGAAAATAATTCCCACCAACCCACACTTCCCGACAATATTAAATCGATAATCGCTCATTGGGAGTTTTTTAAAAAAATGTTGTTGTTGTACTTCAACTTTGAAATGTCGTCCTGACATGAAAAGTCGCTACGTAAATGTAATATTGTATTGTGTTGTTGTGCTTGTTGGTTGTGAGGAGATATTTTCTCGTGAAATGTGTGGAAAGCACACATTTAAAGCCATCAAATTTGTATCCATCCAGTTTTTTAAAGGGTAAAAAAATGATCCCTGCCATCGGTTTTGGTTTTGACGTTAGGATTATTAGTTTCGGAACTTGCAAGAACTCACATTAATTTAAACTTCTGGCGATCCATACCTTCAGAGAGATCTTGATGCATCCACAAGAGAGAAGGGAATAGAGGGGAGTGGGAGAGGGGACGAGAGGAGTAAAGGCCTTCCTCAGAGGGTAATTAGCGACTGGAACAGGTTTGCCAGGAAGGGAAGTTGAGACGAGGACACTGGAACTCATTGAAAAAGCAGCTACAATGGGAAGACGATAAACATGGGCAATGTAAAGTAATGACATCAGATAAGCCAAAGATCCTTCTTCATCCGAATTAATCTTGATGTTGTGAGTAAAAACAGCGGCAAGGACTAGCTGGGCCGAATGGCCTGTTTCCGTGCTGTACCATTCCATGTAATTCTTTCTAAATCTTTCTCAATAAGATCACACCCACATTTTATATGAACAATATTTAGGTCCACAATTTCACCTAGCCCCAGCCTGCAAGATTGTTTTGTCTTGAAAATTTAAGGCTGCGCATAACTTGTAGAATTGGGTCTTAATTTGGAATTAGCTCCTATATAAATTTCTTGGAAAACCAGCGTCCAAATCATAACTGAGTTTAACAATTTCCCATCGCTCCAATTTTGAGACAAATTAACCCACAGACTAAGACTAGATGGAATTTTGAGTCTAACGTTATTTTCTCAAAATGAAGCATTGGTCGGACATAAAATTGTCATTAAAATGTATCTACTCTAAAGCTAACTTGTCTAACAGGATAAAATACTACCTTATAAAAATAATAATAATAATCATTACATTCGATACATGTCAGGAAATGCGCTTCACAGGATTTACTGCAAAGTATAGTAACTGTATGTTTTGTAAGCAACCATGGCAGCCAATCTGCGCATAGCAATGCCTACAAAGCAGCCCTGAAGTGAATGATTGATGTTTTTATCCGGGGTCACAGGGAGAGAGAAACTCTTTTTTTCGCCACGGGACCTTTAACGTCCATCCAAACAGGGCACAGACAAGGAGCTTGGTTTAAATATCTCAAAAATCTCTGAAATAAAGCTAAGACATTGTCAGGCTGAAGGCACAATGGGTGGGTGATGATCCCATAACATTGCAAATCTTGTCATTACACCATTTGGTGTGAAGAGTCTTTGTAGGATGAGTTGGCAAAGCCAACCATTAATTACCCCTCGATGCACATGGGGAGGGATTGATGCGACTGAAGGACTCAATTGAAGTGACAAAACAAAGCACGCTTTGATGAAAGGCTTGGAAATGTCACGTAGATGAATGTTACCAGGCGTTTCCCTGTTCACGTCTAATTTCCACGTCTAAATTTCCAATCTGCACACGGCGGGCAAAGCAGGTCGGTCGTGCAAAATATTCCACTTTAAAACAAAAGGAAGGATTGAATGTTTTCTCCATTAATATGCATGCTCTCTCTCTCCCTCCCTCTCTCTCTCCCATCGTTCCAAGGTCCGGCTCAAGACCTATCTCTTGGATCACTCTGTCCATCATCTTTTCCCTTCCCCCAAACCCCTTCAGCTGCCACCTCCAGCTCGGATACCCAGCTTGCAGTGTGAGCGCTTTGAGACGTCCTCCTGATGTGAAAGGGGCTCTACGTAACTGCAAGCTGTGTTATGTTGATAACGATGAGAATAGGATGGCCAGTCAGTCATTTGCCCTCAGGATTTTGGTGGCTATTTGTTAGAGTAAATGCCACAAATCTGGTACCAATTAATACCTAAACTGGTTCTAAACACTTGAAATCATTTTTAAAGCTTATTTTCTATCCCGCCTCCCAGATTAGTTTAGCCCAAAATCCAATAGCGGGAACAATACCAGCAACTCAACATCTGTTCAGCTCAAACTCTAAACATCTGCTCAGCTCCTGGCAACGCTGCCGTGTGACTGTTCACCCAGTATGACTGGGGCAGAACCTCTGCCACTTTTTTTCCCCCTCTCTTCTGTTCATCTGCTAATCACCGGCTGGTGAGGCAGGGAGGGGCTGAGCCATAATGTGGCAGCCTGGCTCAGTTGATAGCACTCTTGCCTCGAGAGTCAGAAGGTTGCTGGTTCAAGCCCTGCGCTTGAGACTTTGAGCTCACACAGTATAGACCGACATCCAATGCAGTGGTGTACATAAGGAGCTGTACTTCAGGTGAGACGTTAAACCGAGGTCCCCCTGTGTCTGTTCTGGTGGATGTTAAAAATCCCATCCAACGCACTCTTCGTAAAGACTAGAGAGTTTCTCTTTCTCGGTGTCCTGGCCAACAATTCCTCAAATTAAAATTGCTCATTCGTTTCACGGTTGTTTTCTGGGTCATTGCAGTGCGCATTTGTGCTGCCATGTTCACCCACAAATACAGTCCCTACACTTCACAGTAAAATTCTATGAAGCGTTTTGAGGTGTCTCAACAATGTGGGACATGTAAGGATCAAAATGTAAGAGTTGTTACATATTTCAGGTCTATAATCTTTATTATATACCCCGAATTATTGTATAATAATAAGAATCCTTTCATTTGATACAGCGCCTTATCACATTGTTGAGACGTCTCAAAGCGCTTCATAGAATATACAGTAAAGTGGATTGCCTGTGAATTTGGTGGACAAAACATGAGGATACGTACTTACTGCTGCTGAACAGAGGCTTGTGGAGTAAGAAAGCTTGCCTAAGATTTCGCCCCACCCGGAAATTGAACTCTGGTCATCTCACTTGCGAGGTGAGCGGGTTAACCACAACATTATCCAAAATGTGTTCAGTATATATTTTCAATATCTTCTTGGTGGTTGGTAGGGTGTCAGGCGGGATAAGAAATCCTGTTAGATATGCTAAAATTATTGAACACCTCTAACCTTCGTTTCGCCCACA